GAAGTTGCCTTTGTTGTTGTGGGCAGGATGGGGTTAAGTGGGAGTAGGACATGGCTTAAGGGGAATTATGTAATCCGGTTGAGCCCTGAATATTTATGCCTGGCTGCATTTCAGAGCTCTCTGAAGTTTTTTTTAATGCTGATTTAGTGTGAAAATGTTCATTTCTAAATTTAAATATATTTTTAGTAGTATTTCATTTCTTAATTTAAATATATTTTTAGTAATATTTTTAAAGTATTTTTTTTATTTTCATTGTGTTTTTGAATACATTTTATGAAGGAATGATTAATACAAAAAAATTTAAAATGATTTAGTAAATGCAAATACAATGAATAAAGGCCAACTTTGTTAACAGATGAATTTCTTAGCTAATTTGCAATTTTTAGTTAAGTGAATGTTGCAAAGATATGTGTGACTCATCAAAGATTCAATGTTTTCTTTGCTAATTTGGTTACTCCTGAATCAATTTCCCTTCTCCGATGCCGATCGCCATTTTTTTGAGCCTCTGGCCCAATTCAAGGCTTTTGTTTCAGTTCGACACAAGCGACACAAGCCCCAAGAAGTAAACCAAAACACAAACAAAAAACGAGACCTGAGTGCGGCGCATAATTGTCGTTTTCCTTTGAACTGCAGCGCCTGCAATTTGCTTATCGCCCGCCGATCGCGATTGCCAATAGGGAGCTCCCAGGGGGAGGTGGGGGATCGGCGACATTGTTGTTGCCGTGGCGCTGTCTTCTTCGCCGCTGTTCGCTGTAAGTTCGAGTACATTTCAATTAATTAACATTCAACTGCACATGCGCAGCGACATCACAAAAGCGGATACCGAAAATTGCTGATTGCGCCAGATAAACTCATTTACAGCGGTTAAATGCCACCGGCGGCGCACATTGCCAACACTCACGGCCGTTTCGGGCGGTACGGGCGGCAAGTCGGGCGGTACGCCAATCCAGCGATTGAGCGGTCTGCACACAGTCCACTTTGGGCCGCGCGGCTTCTATTGTGCATTTTCAATGAAGCCAGCCACTGCGGAAAAGCTAGAGGCTTAAAAGAAGACTTTGGGAATACGCTTAATATTAATGAAGTAACCAGTTTAAATCTATGTATTAAAAAAAAATACAATAATCTTGATTTGCCATTTGGCAAGCTGTGTTGATAATACTTTTAACATGATCCAAATTCAGAAAGGGACAGCTTTGCAGGTTTATTTTTTAAATATCTTAAAATTGCAATAAAATAAAAAAAGTTTAGCTTAAAGCTAACAAATAATATTTCTTGATCAAAGTAAAATATTTATGTTTCTCGAATCCTCAAATAATTAAATAAAATAGCAGCTTTTGAATATTTTTCTGGAAGTGTAGGGTCTTGGCTGAGGCCCCTGATTGACAACGATCCGAGCGATCCGCCTGATGTCTATCGCTGCACACGTTTCTGGCTGTGGCTCTGTTTTAGTTTCTGTTTCTGGCCCGGCTTCTACCAGGGTCTCTTCTTCTTTGTCCGATGGCCACCTTGTCCATCTTGGCCAACTCCATGTTGGTCTTACATGTTCGTGTTCCAAGGCTCTGGAAATTGTCATGTTGTTTTGTAGCCCGACGAACTCCGTCGCTGAGCAGAGATGCTTATCGCCACGTCACGTTACAAATTTATGCCGCAGCGACATTAGAAAAATTATTGTAATTAGCCAGCGAGCAAACGAGAGGGGAGGAGGTGTGCGAGCGGGAGGTATCGCACACACACACACATACTCACACACATCAGTGGAGCAGAAGTGGCTGAAGTTTGGTTAGCCCTGTTACCAGTTACTAGTCGCAGTTGTTTGTGGCCGCCTTGTAATCCTTTCCACAAACAGCCAACGGCGACAGGCGACGCCAATATCCTGCACACCCACAAACAAGATATATATACATTATACACCGGAATACCCCTATACGTACATGTATGTGTAGTATCCACATATGACGGCAGGGAGATTATAAGGGCAACCGTGCAAAGTGTAAAATGTCTTAATGATAAACAAACAGAAAAGTTTTGTCGGCTACGGCTAGGATTTTGCAGAGGATATCCACCCACGCGTATTGAAGGTGGTTAAAGAAGAGGGTTCCGTTGAAATACATGCGAAACGGGACAAAAAACGGTTCAACTGTCTGATATTTCTGCGTTACACGTGGCGTATACGTTATATTTGTTTATTGTACTGGAACAGTGGACAAAATAATATCGCTTCATTCAGGATTTTATGGCAAATTTTAGGGCGTTTTCTGTTACTATATTTTTCAGCTTTCATTACTTTCTAAGTAATATTTCTTAAATATTGAAAATAGGCTTTTTATTCCGATTTTCGCCACTGTTTGTCATCACAGCCCGTTGCTATTTAGAAATGTATTCACAATTCTTTATAGACGTGTTACAGCTCTGCCTCTTTCTCACCACTCCGCCCCACTCTTCTTGCATTTTTTGGTTGGTTACACTGAAATTGCATGTTAGCACGCAAAGTTAAAAGACCTCCCCCTCCCCCCGCCGCTCCTGTTTTCCTACCGTTGTTGCTGTTTTGCTGTTGTTGCTGCTGCCACCGCTGTTGGTATAATGTCTTCTTATTATGCTGCGACACTGTTGCGGCTGAAACTCGTACACCGCCCCCTTGAACGTGGCTCGTGGGTCGCTGGTTATTGGCAAATAAAATGTCTAAGCGCGCCAATTTCGTATATATAAAAAAGTAAACCACATCGGGAGTATAAATAAAATATGGTTTTGTTATCAGTGGAAGGGATCGTGTATGCGGCTAATAACATGCAATTTCCACCAAAAGCAACAACGAACGGCACGCATATCCAATCCACACACACAGCCGCACAGTATAACCGAATATGAGCCCGTACACACATGTAGTTTTCCTTGCGGGGCATTTTGGCCAAAAGGAAGCAGGTGAAAAGTAAACCATTTGCATGAACACCCACGGGGCGTATGACGATATGACGACGACAACCAAGGCAACCCGCAGTGGTGGAAAAAAGAGAGAGAGAGCTATATCCAGTGCGAGGGAGATAGGTTGGCCAGGAGGGACAGAGACGGGGAGACCAGCAGAGGCTAGTTGCAAAGGTGTTGAAAATTAGTAACGGTCGGCGGTCGAATGGTGGATGATGAATGCATTTGGGGCCTAAAGCACGAAAAGTAATTCTTAAATTCAATAAATTTAGAGATAATAAATATAATTAAAGGTAATAAATATTCAAAATACTCATCATCGCATTCCCGAAAAATTGTTTTCCGCCTAAAAATACGTATTCCTTTACACTCAGCTCGACCTTTATAGCCACTGCTCTTTAATCGCAACAATAAAAATACAAATCAAAATTCTGAAAATTTTCTCTCTCTTTCTCGTTTGCCGCCTTGTTTTAAAGTAACTCGTAAACTTGTTTATTTATTTTTTAACCAACTTGTGAGGACAAAGCCAAGAAGGGCAGAGAACAAAGCGACACGCGGGGACAGAATGCGAGACAGTGGGACAGACGGAGGACAAACATGAATAAAATTTGCGTAAAAGTGGACAACAAGCGAAATTTGCAGCGAAAAGGGGCGGCTGTGGGGGGGTGTGGCAAGGGGCGGCATTTCAATTGGGATGAGATAAACGGAAAGAGACGGAAAGATGCGGACCGCTCGCTTAATAAAATAATGCGACAGAAGGAACGACAGCGATGAGGATGCGGTTCATGATGATCAAAGACGATGATGATAGCTTTAACTCACTGCGAATGGCTGAGTGTGTGTGCGGTTTTGATTGTGTGCCATCCGTGAGCCTGTGTGTTTGCATTTGTGTGGCGCGGAGTGAATTAATGGCTTAATTGAAAAATTTGTTCTCGCCATGAGAATTTACTGTGCCTGCGCCTGGTTCCCTCTCGATGGAAGCAAACAATGTGACAGTCGAATGGACAAATTGAGCGATTTTTCCAGTGCCGTTATAGTTGATATAGAGCGGCATTATACAGATTTCCAAGAGGTTTTTGAGGCAAACAATTTTTTTTTTGTTTTATAAATATAATTATTGTTAATAAAATATTAAAAAATTAAAATAACCAGAGCCTTAAAAAAAACAAAATTAATCTTGAGGAAAAACCGTAAATTAAAATCTTAAATTTACTAATAATAAACCATTTACTATCTTGAGAATATCATATTATCAACAGATTCTATTTAACTTAATAACATTTACATTTTAAGAGATTCTTTCAAAAAGATCCGATTCTCTCAGCCTGTTTTGGCATCTTCATTAAGACCAAATAACCACAACAAACCAGTTTGCAGCGAAGGACGGGGGAACCTGTAGCACCTGTATCCACAGCATCCAGTCCAGCGTCCACGTCCAAGGGGCACTAATCAATTTCATATCAATTTGTAAATTTGCAATAATTACGATAATTAGCTGCGAGTATCTGCCAAATGCGTTGGCCTGACTGGTCCGAAGCCCAGGTTCGCCCCGCAGACCCCCCTTCGAATGCATTCAAAGAATGCAGCGAGGTGATAATGAGATTTTCAATTCAATAAAACATCAGGCTGGCATTCGCACTTGCCAATTTTGGTGGGGACCGAAAGGCAGGAGTCTGGGCCTTCGCATGAATATTTCATTCAATTTACACTTTTGCCGTGGACCGCTTTTTTCCTCCTTTCTGCTGCTGGCCAACTAATTAAGTAATTTTTTCGCTCTTGCGACTTTTGCTGCCGTTGATGTGTGTTTCTCGGCTCTTTTCCCGCTTGCTTATTATTTTTATGGTCTTTTAATCAACACGTTGCGAATTTGGAATCGAAATTGAGTTAGGTTCTTGGCGAATGTCTGCAAGTGACTTTTCTTAATTAATGCTGGTCAATGATTTAATTGGTTCGAATCGAAAGGCAATTAAGCTTGAAATTACCAAGAAATTGGTGGATAATTGCTATAGTTTAGGAAAATATATATTAAAGAAATAAGCTGATTGATATACAATTTAACGTTTCTCTTTCTTTTGTTTCAGGTAAACCTACAACGCTTTTCCGACGACCTTTCGATAACAGTTCATGGTAGAGTAAACTCTTTTCAATCTCATTTCCTAACCCCCGAACAATGTAATTAAATGAGTGTGCAATTTTCCCTGCCTGTGTCGGGAAAAGCGAAAGGAAAACTTCAATAACTGGGAGATGGGATAACTTGAGCCTGGCCAAATGAAAACCACCCTACGCCATAACGCACACACATATCAAACGACTTACCCCATTTTGGTCGGGGTTGTTTTTCCCGTTGAAACGCCATGGATGGAACCAGAAAAAATCGAGGAAAAATCCACCCGGTTTTTGTGGTGCCTGCGATTACGATGTTCTAATGCCGTTTTCGGTTCTCCACCTCCGATGATTTTTTTGCCTGCAGTATTTGGTATTCATCCATATGGCAGATGGTCAGGAGCAGGACCAAGCTGAAACTGGACTAACCTTATCGGCTGAGTGCCTGGCCGGTTTTAGTTCTGGTCTTGGATTTCAAAATTCTTTCCTGCACAGAAAGAAATATATTCTAGGCATGTTGGTTGTATTTTAAAAATGAAAGAACATAAAATATATCTTGAATATAAACCAATTATATTCTCAGTACCCAGCTTCAAAATTTATTTTTCTGAGCTGTGTAACCATAATTTTCTCAATTTAGTCCGTTTGCGGAGTCCTTACTGTAGCACACACGCACACAAATATATTTCTAGAGCCGATTCTCGGCCTTCGAATTGCCCTGAATTTTCCCATGGGGGCAACAGGAGAGAACTGAAATCTCAGCTTGTGTTATATCTATCTGTATCTGTATCTATGTGTGCGGGGGCTGCTTTCCAACCATATTGTATCTGCAAAGTAGTTTCAGATACTTCCACTCCCCCTTCCTGCGGCTACTTATTCTTCCTGCTAAATGTTCGCACTAAGCGATAGCCAAATTGCAGTTGAAATGCTTTTATCGATTAAACAGAATCGTGTTTGGATTGTGAGTGGGAAAGGGAAATAGGGAGTGGGATGTAGTTAGTGTTTGTCACGCCAAAGTTAAAATGCAGGAAAAACAGATTTCTGAGACAACGGCAAAGTTCAATGGAACCAACCGGCGGAACAGTGGTTCTAAATTAAAATTAATATAATACAAAATATAAAAAAATTGAATACAGGAAGAACTTTTTCTATTTAAACACTTTTTTAAATAAATAATGAATTGTAAACTGTTAATTGCTACTTCTGTGTTCTGATCGTTTTACATCTCAATGTAAATTACATCGAATGTGCGTCACTGTGCACAGGTTTTTGAATTTAAGTTTTAATAACAACTGAGTTGTTTTCTCGCCCCTGAATGGCCATTTAATTACTTTAATGAATTTGTGAGTGCATTTTCGTGAAAACTCTCTGTGCAATTTTCGTTTATTTCTCGTTTTTTAGCGCCCTGCCCCTCGCTCATTTGTAATAATTAGACTAAATGGCTGGCAGCAGTGAACAGAGGCGTGGGTGGTGACGAGGTGAGGGAAATTTTTTAATTAGCAGGCAGGGCCGTCACCATGGTCGCTGTGGTGCGTTCAGTTGCGTTCTGCGGTGCTTTGTGGTGTTGCTGCAACACGTGTACAGTGCGGCACATGGATATATGAACACTCACTCACAGTTACGAGCGTAATCCCCATGGACCAGGGTTCAGTCTGGTTTTTGGTTCCCAAACAGCGAAAACTACTTTGCCCCAAGGTGTTGGTGGCTGGCTCGATGTCAGCTGCGCATTAGCCAAAAGTTACAGCCTACAACACTGAGAGAAAATCATAATAAAGTCTCTAATATGTATTTTAAATAAATATAATATTAAAAAAAAGATATTATAATATAAAATAAAATACGGATTAATTTATATAATTAAACTCATGAGTAATTTACTTTTTTTTGTCCCGTCTACAATTTTTAAAATACTGTTTTTTATTACTTTCATTATTGTAATAAACAAACTCATTTGTTTGTCTTAATGTTTATGAAATAGCACACATTTAAACGCGGTTTTTTCATTTAAGTAATTTTGGTTTGCCGATCATTAATGGGTCTAATTTTTCGTCAGTGCCGAGCCAAACCACCTCCCCCTGCCACGCCCCTCAAATGGGCGTGTTCGTGGCGGATACGGCGACATTTGCTTGGCAGCTCGTCATGTTGCCAACTAATTTCATGAAAGTTGACACAGAGCCACATGTGAAATCAGGCGGTGCTGGCTTTCGGTTGAGTAGGTGGTTGCCTTAGCTAACAATGCCCAATGGGATTGTTTCGCTTCTTTTTCCATTTTTGTGTGGCGTTGACTAAATTAACATTGACATGGCTCGCTGTTGTTGCTGCCGCTGCCACATGTGCCTCACTTTCTGGAGGAAGGGAAAATGGAGTTTGGCTGAAAGCAAATAAAATATTCACACATTTTCCATTTCATATTTTGAGTGGCCGCGTTGAAGTTTGCGGCCAGCGCTAAATGAAAATAAATTTCACATTTCCATTTCCACTTTTCCCTGGGTTCTATTTTGTGGCGCCATGTAATTATCATATCATGGCGAGTCCGAGGACGAGTTGGAAGTCCCCCGAGGGCAATGAGTGGGGTATATGCTCCAAAAGGGATTAACGCTGGATGAGCATTAAGTTTTTGTGGGTAGAAAATTACTATAAACTTTTCTGCCTTGTTTGTTTGGGTTTCCATTTGACTTTGGTGGGAGGGAGAAATTTACAAGGCCGATTAAATATGTGTTTTATTAGTAAAGAAAAATTTTAATGTAGATAGTTTTTTTTTATTATTACGATTATTTTTATCTTTAATAAGGTTCCCAAGTACGTCTTCACATTTGTGGGTCAGTGCAGGCCCCAAGAAAAAGAAAATCAATTAAAAACTCGTTTGCCAATTAAGAGAGAGCAAAAAAATGTAGACACACACGAAAATGTATATAAATGTGTGCCACAGCGATCCATCTATATAATTTGCTCAACTTTCGTTTGCTGTAGCATTTTGTCGCATTTTGTGCGAAAATCTTCTTCCTCCTCATTTTTCCTGCCCGCTGATTTCTCAGTCAAGTTCACTTAAACAATTTGTTGTTGCCCGGATAGCTTTTCTTGCTTTATTGTTGCTATGTGCAACCGATGCAGTTGCAGCTGGGTTGTTGTTGCTGCTGCTCCCAAGGCATTTCACGCTCGTTGGCAGTCGGCGCCGCTGGCAAAACTGAAGCTGAAGCGGTGAGAAACAGTGATGGCTAGTTGGCTACTTTGTAAAAAATATAGCTTACATTGTTTTCTATTTCTCTCATAAGAACTGTACAAATTGTCCAAATTGCGTTGATAAAAATAGAGTCACATTCTTTAAAACAATCCATAGTATTTTATAGCTTCTTTGAAATTAAAATAAAAAATTTAAGTTACTTAAATTTTTAGAAAATCATTAAGTCATTAAGGAATACCATCCTTAATTATTCTCACATCTTTGAAAAGTTGTCGAGAAAACATTATCATATCTTGTATCTATTTTTATTTAACTTTTTTAAAATATAAATCTAGTTGATCTTGTTGTTCGAATCCACAGTTATGGCATCACTACTGATAAAAAGAAGAGCCAACGAGCCGTTGCCAGACATCCCAAAAAGAAGTGGAGCGATAGAGGGCGGGGAATGGGGATGGAAAATGGGAAAATGGGCAGACAAAAGCCAAGTCAACTCAAGGCAGGCAGAAGCTATGCAGCAGAAGGTGGCGGCTACTGGGGCGGTCGCGTTTTCCATTTCGTTGAAGTGGAAAATATTTTGTAAATATTTTCGTGTATTCCTCGTTTTCGTTTTGCTGCGTTGTTTTTTCTTTGATTTCGTTTTGTCTGTTGTGGCTCTGCCTCCGCAGTTGTTATTTTTGTAAAGCTGTGAGTTTATTTTCCCGCCCGCTCTCTTGGCAGCGGCCCCTCTTGTTCTGTTTTGTATTTTTACAAATATTTTGTGTAATCTTTAAAGCAGACAATGATGACAGCCAGCGACGATGGCGGCATTTTGTGTCACATCCTGAAGACTTCCACGGGCGGCGGGGGCGGCGGAACAGGGGGAGTGACAGTGGGCGGTGGGTAATGCCAAAGTATTTAAGCACGTGCACGCACAGTGGAGCGAAAGCCGGCAGCAGGATTCAGATGGGGATTACAGGACAGGCCCAGGGGCAACATCATCATTGTCACCAGGCAGCCCTTTAAAAGAGCGACTGTTGCCATTAAATAAAAGTTCTGAGTGATGTAAGGTATATCGATTCTATTAATTAAATGAAAGAAACTGCGTTCTTAAAATGTTCATCAAAAATAAGTTCAGATATAAAAAAAAAGTAGAAATTTTAAGTATATCAAATTCTAGATATATAAAATAACAAAGATAAATTAGAGCTATGTGCTGTTGGTTATTGAATAATTTTTAAATAATTGGAATATATAAATATAAATAAATACCCCATAAAACTCTTCCTTTCCTGCGACTACCCATCGTATCCAGTATCCAGTATCCAGTACACTTCGCTGCGGTATCTCTTTTGCTGAAATGGACTCATATTTCGCGACAGGCTGTTAGTCAGCAATTCAGTTGGTTGCCGGGTCCCGAAGTCACTGAGCCTGTCATGACATTCGCCACGAGTTGGGGGGTGATACTTCTTATACATATAGATTTTTTCCAGCCTTTTGTTTTAGCATTTTTGCAATGTTGCCTGCTTTGCCTGGCTGTCGAGGGTTTTCTCGTCGCCGGCTTCTGTTGCGGAAAATAGAACAAAAGTTTTTGTCGCTGTCAGAAAAGTGTCAGGCGGCAAAGTTGAATGCTGTCCCAAGGTGAGGGGCGAAAATGCGGAAGGGGATTGGGATTGGGTCAGGGGGGAGAGCGGGACGGAGGGAGGAGACTCTCAACGATTTGAATAAGTAAATAAAGTATGAAACGGGAGCACATGGCAGCAGATGAAGATGACACTGGTAATGCGACGGCAGATAATCGAAAGGAGGTTAAGACCGCAACGGAAAGATATCGCCAACTTTATTCTTCGATTGTAAAATGATATTG